TCTTCTTCTTCTTCTTCTTCTTCTTCTTCTTCTTCTTCTTCTTCTTCCTCCTCCTCCTCCTCCTCCTCCTCCTCTTCCTCCTTCTTCTGTCATTCTCTCTCTCTCTCTCTCTCTCTCTCTCTCTCTCTCTCTCTCTCTCCAGAGGCGTGAGCGTTACTGGGGAAGCTTCAGCTCGTTTATCCATACTCATGGGTGCTTCTGTTTTAAGTGACTCACTCTAGAAAGCACCCAAGATTTAGTCAGGCCATTTGAACGCCGTCCAGCTTCACCATTAACTGACAGAGTGACTTTGCTAAATCGCCTTAATCTCTTTGAAACATAGGGTGGCTTCACATGCTAGCTCTCTGTGATTGGCCTTTGGACCCCTTGGAGACTGGGACTTAGCCTCTTTCATCTCCATAGCTCAATCAGTAAGTAACTAGGTTGGTTGTTAGACCACAAGAGTGTGTGTGGGAATCCTCAAGTGCGGGCACATAATGCTTGCTCAGGAAATGTTAACTACCATTATTAGTCTTTGTGCTGTGTTTCTCTTTCTTCTGTTCATTGTTCCGTTGTCTCTTCCTGACTACAGCAACGTTTGAAACTGTGTTCTGTAAGGGTTGCCCTTTTGTGATTGCCAGGACTGGAATCCTTATTTGCATTGCATCTTCCTTGGGTGCACATTGCATGGTCCCTGGGGCCCAGAAATTTTTTCTACTCATTCAAGCAAGGGTCAGCTCAAGTCTCCATCCCCTGTAAGCTCCCTCTAGGGCCCCAGTAGAGGAGTTTTGTTCTCCTCAGTGCCTTGCTACGCAAGCATCAGTCTTTGCATTGGCCATGTTTGACACTCTTGGGTTAGTGCTTTGTTGCTGTTTTTTTGAGACACATTGTCTCTGTGTAGCTCTGGCTGTCCTGGAACTCACGCTGTAGACCAGACTGGCCTCAAACTCAGAGATCCACCTGCCTCTGCCTCCTGAGTGCTGGGATTAAAGGTGTGCGCCACCGCTGCCACCGCTGCCACCGCTGCCAGGCCCTTGGTTTGTGACTTCTCAACAACCACAGGAACTTCTCTAGGGCTGAAGCTATGTCAAGCATCTCACCCTAGGATGCTGTGAAGTTGTTTGTTTGAAGCTAAATAAAGACAATAGAAGGCAATAAAAGTGCCGGCAGTGACGGGAACAGACACCCTGCTTTGGAAAGGACCCCTGCTTCCCTTCCTCTGTTGCTCTCCTGAAGCAAAGCCCCGTCTTCTGTCTTGAGAACTAGCTGTCCAGTTGGGGGAGTGTTCGTTCAGCTTCCATCAGCTCTTTCTGGAGGGAAGTCAAGGTTTGACTGGCATCACCCTCAGTAAATATCACAAGTTTGTAAAGGAGATAGAAAAGGCCTTTGGGCTTTCTAAATGATATCTCCACGCCTTTCAAGAAAATAAACAGAAACTATTGAGATGCAACCTCTTGTCTGTTTGCAGTCATCACCCGTATAATCAGAAGCGGAAACCCTCCCCAAGCCACAAGCAAAGAAAGCATCTAGAGTGTTGTTCCCAGCCAGAGAGGGCAAAGGAACAAACCAGATGGTTTTTCTTTCCGAGCCATCTCCTTGGGCCCCTCTCGCCTCCTGCTGACATTGATCAAGTGTCTTCAGTGTGTCTTAGACCCTGTGTTATGACTGCCCATGTGTTGCTTTGGATTTCTTTCAGCCAAGGTCTCTCTCTCTCTCTCTCTCTCTTTCTCTGTGTGTGTGTGTGTGTGTGTGTGTTCCCTGACTGGACTGGAAACTCCCTGAGGGCAGTGTCTGGGTGGATTTGTATTTCCGCACAGAACAAATACAGTTAAAAAGTCAGTAAAAACCTGCTGAGTGAATGGCTGAACGCACCAGTTTATCTCACCATCCCAGGAAAACTGAATTTAGGCTTTAATCTTCTCATTGAGCAGATGAGAAAGGGAATTCTTGAAGACATGAAATGACCTGCTCAAGTCGAACAACAACCCCGAGATCATTAGCTTAGCTCTGTCCTAACTCCAGAGTTCTTTTATGCATGCCTTATTGTCCTCAGAAACATGGTTTGCAGGCCGATCACATGAAACTATTGGATCTGGATGCTGGAGGTCTAAGAGTGAGCCCTAAATGTCAGGCATCGGCAGTCTCTTCCTATCCTGAGGCCTTTTCTTAGCTCCTAAGCACCTCAGAGGCCGCAGCTCAGCTAAGCATCTATCTCATCACCGCAATGTGCAGAGCTCTGAAAGTATGCTATAATATCAGTTTCTGGCCTCCTAGACCCTCTTCAGAGCCAACTTGGTCCCATTTCAAAATCTGTAGGCCGGGGAGTAAAGAAGGCTGAGCCCGTGTGCTATCCCTCCCAGGCCCCCAACCCCAGACCGTCAGCCGACTTCTGTGACTACGACACCAACGTGTTTATCCACTGCCTCCCCACCCCCTTACTCCAGGGCAGCGAGAGTTTCTAAAGTTAATGGTTATTGCCTTTCAGGGCCCCTCTGTGTTTACTTTGAGAAGGTCAGGCCCGATACTGCAGTATGTTGCTTGTGCTTCTTTTCAAAGCGCCAGTATGAATTTGATAAAGTAAATTGTTGTTCTAGCAGGAAGCAGTTAGGGGGTCACAAAATAAATAGCCGTAGAATTCAAATAAATCCAAAGAATAAAACCAAATAAATCCATGTGTGTCTGCACTGCGATACATAAATACACTCTTTGGAAAGCCGGTGTTTTTTATCGCTGCTGGTCCGGACCAGAGTAATTGAAAAATTGTGGAGTTCGTGGTACTTTTTTTTCAGAGGCGGTCTGGGAGTTTGAGTAACATGACATGAATTGAATTTTTTAAAAAAAAAAAAATGAAAAGGGAATTTTATCTTTTAAAGAATTGCTTATCTTGGGATTTTTCTCCCCACTAATGAATTTCACATTTGAATGAAAGCAATTTGCTGAGTTAAATTAGGGATTTAGGCTCTTGGAGGGGTAGGCTTCAAGCCCTACAGGAGCTAAAGATTCGGAGTCTCTTGTTTTCCCCCTAGAAGAAAGGAAGGGTAGTGCCGAAATGATGCCCTAAAGTGACCTCTGGGTTACTCTGCTGTTCTGGGTATTAACCGGATAAAGTCCTTGACAGTTGTTCGCCTGGGGAACGACGTGAGCCAGACCCTGTACCTGTTTCCTTGGTGTCCAGAGGCAGACTGGAAGAGCTGGAGGCTGAAGGAGAGAGGTTCTGGGCCTAGGCTTTCCTTGGATGAGGCTAAAGATTTTGGGTTACTCATGCCATGGCCAACCATTAGTGGTGCCTTAGCAAGGCACTAGCATGCTCATGGGGAGAGCCTTCCAAGTCTTCCCACCAGCCAGGAGTAATGGCACTCACCATTAATCTCAGCACTCGGGAGGCAGGTGGATCTCTGTGAGTTCTAGGACAGCCAGAGCTACATAATGAGACCCTGTCTCAAAACAATAACAACAACAAAAAGAAGTGAACGAGTGAATGCGTGCAGGAGGCCTTGTGGGCCAGACATCCTCATAGGAGGTGACTGTCGTATTCCTGCGAGACTTACTATGGTGGACATTTGCTTTATGCTTCTGGGCTTTGAGGAATTTCTGGGCCGGTGGTAAAATCTATGGACGTGACTTTTGAGAGACTGGAACTAAGTGGCCACCCGATAACCAGTCACCTTTAAGAATGACCTGGTACTTCCTGTGCCCCGGGGAGGGGGGGCTGCTATCTGGGATATCTCAGTGGAAGGGTTGAACTCTAGTCTACCTCTCTGAACAGTGGGGGGAAAGACTTGGAAATGGTGACTGCTGAGCCAGACCCTTTGCCCCAGGTTCTATGTACAGGAAAGGACGGCCCGTGACACACGTTTACTGGGAGGTGACTGAGCTGAGGATGCCGGACATGGCTAGGGTATGGTGACTCTAGGATTCAGCTCCAAGTTCTCTGACACTGTGTGGAACATGCATGGCCTTTAGATGAACTTCTCGGGGTAGAGGTGGTTAGGGCCCAGGAGACATTGCCCTGGACACATAACCGAACACAGCAGTCTTGGGTTGTGTTACTCCTTAAAACCCTGGCTTTAACTTTTAACAGGGTGTGGAAGGCTCCTTTCTCAGCTCCTCCACTACCCCTCTTTGAGCACTCAAGGGACAAAAAGGAGAAGGAGGCCATTTTCCCTGGGGGTGATGAATGGGGAGACAGGGATACAAGTCGTGAAAGCTTCTCAGAGGCCGCAGACTCCCACAGATGTAGGAATTGCTGTAGCATTTCTGCCTGACATTTGGGGTAGTCTCTGCCATAGGATGCTTCCCTTCGGCCCCTTGCACTGACTTCTCTTTTCTCTCCCCTTCCCCTCCTGTGTGCTCTCCCAGCGGCTCTGCCCTTCCTCATCATCGAGACGAGCACCATTAAGCCTTACCGCCGCGGCTTTTACTGCAACGACGAGAGCATCAAGTACCCCCTGAAAGTCAGCGAGACCATCAACGACGCCGTGCTCTGTGCCGTGGGGATCGTCATTGCCATCCTGGCGGTAAGTATCCTGCCTCACCCTCCTGATCTGACTGCCTCCTGTGTCACAATGCAGCCCATCTGAGCCCTTGGAGGCTGCAACCAGCCCAAAGAGACTTCCACCCAAGAAAACTTCCTCCCATGTTGTTTTGCCTTGGGCAGCTAATGCTCTTTCTAAATACAAACGTTTACGGGGAGATAAGCATGTAAGCATTTAGAAACACCTTCTAAAGTAACGTTTGCTATCCTCACGATGATCTCGTGGAGTTTAAATATCGTTTTTTTTTTTTTTTTTTCTTTAATGTCCATAGAGTAAGACTTAGTTAATAAGTGGCAGAGTTGAGATCGGATCTGAGACATCTCTTCCACTCTGAGCCACTGTGTTAGGAGGCTGAGTCCCATTGTCAGCGAGCCAAGGTGTTTTCTGTGCTCTGGCCTCCCCCTTTGCTGAGCTGCAGTGGTGGTGCTGATGCAGATTGCCAGCCTACTGATTAGTTTTCTTACCCTGCGGCTATGGTGGGGAGATAAATAAACCTTGGAATTCAGAGCACCTGATCCAGACCCCACCCTGGACCAGCAAGCCTGAGTCTTCGAAACTGAGGACAAGCGTACCTCTTCACAGTGTGACAATAAACTAAAAAAGACTGCCGCGAGCATCTTCGAGTTTTTACCACTGTGGCAACACCATGGCCAAAAGCAACTTGGGGTGTAAAGGGTGTATTTCCGTTTAGATTTCCGGGTAGCAGTCCACCACTGGGGGACGTCAGGGCAGGAACTGGAGCTGGAAACTGAAGCAGGGGCCATGGAGGAGTGCTGCTTGTTGACTTGCTCTTCGTGGCTTGCCCAGCTTGCTTTCTTATAGCACCCAGGACCCACAGCCCAGGGGTGGTACTGCCCGCAATGGCCCGGGCCCTCCCATTTCTATCACCAATCAGAGACGCCTCACAGGTGTGTTCACAGGCCAATCTGGTAGAAACATTCTCTCCGTAGAGATTTCCTTTTCCCAAATGACTTTAGCTGGTGTCAAGTTAACATAAAACTATCAGCACAGTGAGTATTAAAATACTTTGCAAACTCTTAATTGCTGAACAGGTTACTGGGGTGTCCATATAAAGTCCAGTCTGACATGGGCTTCCCTTAAAAGACATAGCCCTCATGAATGGTGCTGCCGAAATGCGTCACACAGGGGCTGTGACAAGGTCCAGGAATCTTTGGAGCAGTGCTTGCTTGTGGGCATTTGGGTGTGGTCCATCTAGGCCCTACCTTCTTTTACTGTGTCCATTTGAGACAGGAGAAGGGGAGGATCATCCTTTGAAAGCCACTGTTACTCGATTTGTGAGGTTTACAACGTCTGTCTACCCCTCTAGCATTTTCTAAGTTTGTGCTCTGCCCTTGAACTCCTGCCACGTGGCTGAAAAGGAGAGGCAACGCAGCCACTAGGCCCATAAATCCTGTAGATCCTTGAACTGCTCTTCTGTGGAACGCAGCTTGGAGGTGGAACTTTGGCCTGCTATCCCCATTATGCAGATGGAAAATCTACAGAGGGCTTAGATAAAGGACATAGCCAGAAGCCTCTAGCTAGTAAAACCTGGGCTTTCAAGCCTAGGCCTGGATGATTTCAGAGCCCGCTTCCCAGCTTTCAGATATGCCTTTCAGGATGGCTAGCCTCTCCCGATGAACTGCACGCTTCAGGGGGTAGGTGGTTAGCTTAACTGGTCTGGCTTGTGACACATAAGCTGCTGATTGGCCCAAGTTTTTCTTGTGACTTGCCTACTCTGGAGCTTGGTTGTGAACCCCGAAACCCCCTCTTTGTTTTTTAATCAACAGTTTGAATTTGAGCAATGGCAGTGTGTGTGGGGGCGGGGGAGGGGGGACTTGTAGAATTCTTTCCAATCTTTAAAAGAAAAACAGCCCACTTGGCAGCCATAGTAGCTTGGGAAGGTCCATTAAAGGATCTCGGTCCCAAAGCTGAGACATGAAAGGTTCTATTTACTATTGCTCCCAATTGATGGTTGTGGGAATGAGTTCTCCGGGAAGAATGGCTTTTCCTGAAAGGGGCATTTGTTGTGGAAGGCAGATAATTGTAGAGTATGCCTTGCTGAGGGTTGAACAGGTGTTCTTGATAGACAGGGGATTGGCTAATTGACTACTTTAAGAGAGCACATTATAATCTCGGAGTCTTGTGATAAGAACAGGTCCGGGACAGGTACGTCATGTCACGTGCTGTTCAGACGCTCTCCCAGGTGTTCTTCCCAGCGTGTGCTGGGGGCTGCTCTCAGGCACACAGGAGAAAGCAAATTAGACCCCTTTCCTAATGGGAATCTGATGTTCACAGTTCCTCAAGAGGATTGCTATTTAATTCAGACACCGTGGCCCTACAGACACCTCATACAGTGTGCTAGATGAAGTGTCCACAGTCTTGTACATGGGGGCAGCCCCTGGTCTCTCTCAGGCCCCAGGATGGGCAAAGGAAGTGTGAAAGTGGCTTCTCCAGAGGCTGTTCTCTCTTTGCTATCTTTCTTTTCCCAAACAGAAGCCCTGGTCAGCAGGTCTTCTCCCGCGGCATGCCTCCTGCTCGGGTTCCAACATTCCTAATTCCTCTTCACACCTATTCCCAGGTGCTTCGTGTTCCTGTCCCTTTACCATTGTCACCTTGTTGTTTTCACTGAAATGGACCCAGGTACCCAGGGTTCCTTGCCACACTCTTGTGCCGGACCCTTCGTTATAGGCTAAGCAGTGATGGTGATAAAATAGGTTTCAATCAAGCCATGGTATAGTTCAGAGAAACACCAGGCAAGGCACACAGCACACAGCAGCGCCGGTGAGATGGCCCAGTGGGAAGAGGCCTTGCTGTGCAAATGAATTCGATTTCTGGGGCCCACCTAAAGTGGGGAAGAGAGAATCAACCCCCGGAAGTTTTCCTCTGGTTTGACCTCCCCATGGTCAGTGTGGCACAGGTGCCAGCCCCCTATGCCAAGAGTAAAAACTTTTAAAAAATAGCTAGAAAAAGAAATACATACCAATAACCGGTATGCTGGTCAAGAGCTACTGTGTACCAGAGAAATATGGAGACTGTGTTGATAAAGTTGACCCTCGAAGAGTCACCAAGAGCTAAATAATGGTATGTGCTCTGGTTCATACCTGAGGTCTTCTGCTGTGGGGCATGTTGCAAGTTAACTGAGCTTGATGAGCCTCGGTAGAGTCGTATGTTGAGTGGAAAGAGTGTGTAAGTACACGTGTTTTGCTAAAGTTTTGAAATGAGATCAGCACACACACACACACACACACACAGAGAGAGAGAGAGAGAGAGAGAGAGAGAGAGAGAGTAATTTAATGCCAGACACAATGAAGTTTACTCAATGAATGTTAGCTGCCTTCGTTGCAAATGAAGATACAATGTCAAAATATGGTGATGCAATGTAGCCCAGACAGTGTATGTCTAATTAAAATGGAGTCTGGAAAAGAATTCCCCACTTTTGACCAGGGGTCTGCCGCTCTTTTTCATGTCATTAGTTAGATCTGAGGTCTCTTGCCTATCATCCCTCTTTGCAATGCAACTTCTACCTCCTGCTCTCGCTGCCAATGCGTTTCAGCTAGAGGCGCACATGAGACGTGTGCTCCTATGGCCTGTAGAGGTCTACTGGCCTGCTTGCTTGCCATCATGCCAAGAGTGCTCCTGGAGAAAAGTTCAGCAAAGACCTCAGAGGCAGATGAATCACTTGCTTTGGTGTGCTCAGTCCTGGAAAAGCTATACAAGCTACAGACAGCAGCAAGCAGCGGGGTCTGCTTCCCACTCTCCCAGCTTGACTATCCGTGAGCCTGGCTGCCTTCACCCAGAATCGACTTCTGACCAGAGAGCCTGAGAGATGGTCAGGCAAGGGAGCAGGTTGCAGAACTGGAAATCTAATCAGCCTGCTATGGACTGCCCTGGACCTGCTCAATGTCGGGTTTGTTCCAAACAGCCAGAGGAACCTTGACTGATTCGGATGCCCTTGATCCAGTTAGCCCAGTCACCACAACAAAGGCCTGGAGTGGTGCTGGAGGAGATTGGGGTGGCTTTCAGATGCAAATCATCAGAAGTTATAGAGAAAGCAGACACCTTTCGGAGCAGAACCCATGGAAAAAAATCGTCATTTTGACCTCTTCTGATGTGTATCAGATTCTAGAACTATAGCATAAGAATTCCTTCCAAGTGCTCACAGCAGTAGCCCCTACCCTGCCTTGAAACGCCTTAATGACTCTAGCAGCAGCCAGGCTGGGAGCAGCCCATAGTAAAATCCCACGTCCTGTGTAGCCTTCCGTCAGCGGGGCCTTGTGCTTACCCGTCAAGACTATTATGGTACAAGGTCTTAACATGGCCCCCAAATGGTCATTGTCCTGTTCAATAAACACAGGCTCAGTGCTTGCCGTGATCAGACCCCAAGATGGGCTCATGTAGATTCTTTAGCTCTAGGAAATGATGTGTGGGTATGTCATAGGTCAGTTTTCCTCCCTGCTGGCCATAACCATGGTGTGCTACTTCCCCTCAGAGACCCAGCTGTGCAAAAATATTTCTAACTTAAAAACAACAACAAAACAAACCCCAAGAAAACATCTCAGACTTTGGCACTTTCTGTCTTAGGTTTGTGTCCCATTGTGTCCCGACTTCTGTTCTTCCGTGTTTTCTTTTGTGCAACCAGTGAGCAAGCCACTGGACCTCTCTGAGTGACATTTCACTTTTCTGTGAAAGCGGGCTGACCGGTCATTAACTCCCTGGCCTGATTTTGGCCTTCAAATCAAGTGCTCTTCTGTGTGTGATCAGTGAGATCCATGTAGTCTTGCATAGTTCGGGGAGCAGCACACTTTTCCATGCACACTCTTTATTGGCCCCTGGTAGTCATCCTGGGAGAAGGAATGCCAAGAACTGGGGCTCGAGGATAGTCAGACCAATAACTGGCAAGGTCGGAGCAACGGTCTTGATCCTGCAGAGTTGAGGCTTTTTAAGTCATGACACCTCTGTTGTCCTCGCCAGCCTGCCTCCTT